GAGGACTCTGACCCTGGGGATATGTCCAGGGGTCCAGAGATGGTCAAGTAGGCTCAGTACTGGAGGGTGAGTGTTGAGGGTTTTAGGTCCCCACCAGTTACAGGGGCCTGGGCACCAGCCCAGTGCCTCCCCAACTTGGGAGCCTCAGGAACATTGGTAGTGTGGCCAGGGCTGGCCCAGCTCCCACCTCCCTGGAGAATTGACAATCTGCCTGTATGTAGGTCCCGAGGATAACATACTCCAGAGCTGGCGGCTCTGGAAAAGGTGGGCACCTCTTTGAGCCAGAGTATCCTCTTTGGCAAACTAAGGATCCTGACCCAGCCCCTCTGATCTCAGAGGTGTGGCCTTCTGTGGGGCCTCGGTGAATGGGCCTGGGCCATGGGGTAGAGCCCACAGCTGGCCATGGCCCAGGTCAAGTGTCTCAGACAAGTCACAAGCATAGGGAAGGGCTGGCTGCTGGCCTGCCCCAACCCCAGAGCCATTTTCTTGGGAACTGCAGTGTCTGAGTGGAGGACCCATGTGCCTGAGGGGCCTGGCCAAACTTCTGGAAGCAGGAAGTGATGTCCTATCTTCCCAGGTGGCCTCAGGTCACTTCCCCTTCTCATCTTGGGCATGCCTTTCCTCTTGCTGCACTCACCCTCTTACATCAGGCAGACTTTCCCCTTTATCCTTGCTGTTCACTACTTGGAATGCCCTTCCCCGAACTGACTGCTCCATCTCCAAAGTCCTCTCCCAGTGCTGGGAGCTCTCATGCCCCTCTGCTGGTTATCTTTTCTCCTCCAATTGATGCAACTCATTCAGCCCCTATCCCAACAAGCCTGAACAGTCCCAGGGACCAGGGGCAACCCTTCAAGCTAGTAGCTAAGGGACTCAGTTGATAGGAGGCAGGCCAGCTGCCTTTACCCACAGCCCCACAGCCCATGCCCTCCAGGTCGGCCTCCAGGCACTCCTGGCCCCTCCGCCACCCACCCTGTACTTTGCTGTCCCACAATGTCTCTTTCCGCTGCCTAGGAGCCCTGTGGCTGCTGCTGCCAAGTTATAAGTATGTGATTATGTATGCTGGGGTCCCCCTAGCCCCTTTGTTGCTGCAGAATCTGTCCTGGCAAACAAAAGTGCACTGGATTAGCCACAGTGGATTAAAAGATTTGCTTCTCAGAGTTTACCTAATAACCTAACAATCGTACTGACAGAGGCTTTGAACCTCTGGACACGCTCACCAGGCCATCTGGGAGCTCTTGGCCTCTGCAGGCAGCAGTATCATGGTTGGGGTAATTAGAAGCAGCCCCTGCCTGCCCTCACACCCGACTCTGCCTGAGGCGGGACTTGTGCTCTTAGCCCCTGCCAGACCTATTTGGGCTGAACTTGGGGATGGGACCAGACTCTAGGAGAAGAAGGTGGAGGCCCAGGTTGGGGGAACAAGGCCTAACCAGAGAGCCCACTGCCCGAGGGCAGGTGTGGGTGGCACAGACCAGGCCTCGTTTACACCCAGCCTGGTCCCCCAGGTGTGTCCACATATCTACTTAGCAGCGAGGATAAGAGCAACATGGAGGGTGCCATGGCGGGCAGGTGACACGCCAGGCTTCACCATGCTGCGGTGCACGGCTCCACTGCCATCGCTGCATGGTGCACGTTCCTACACACACACACACACACACACACACACACACACACACACACACACACACACGCGTGCCCCTCTTTGATCTCCAAAGGACACTCCATTTACAAGCTCTTAATCGCAGCTGTCTTTTCGGGGCCTGTCTTCTGAAGTCCCGAGTAATGGGATTTGGCGCCTCTGATCCATCTTGGGCTGGCCGCTCCCCATTATAGGTGGACATTTTTTTCCTTTTTCTCCCTTTTTTCCTTTTTTTTTTTCTTCTCGATAAAATGCTCCTTAAACTGCACTGACTTGACATGGCTTGTCACCTATCCCTGGGAGTGGTGGCTGGGAGAGGGGCCGGTGGCCATTATGCTGTTATGCCGAGGGCCCAGTCAGTTGGGGGTCTTTGATGCCGCTTCCATGTGAAATCTGAGGTAAAAGACTTATTAGAGTAATTTTCAGGTCCATGGTGCGGTGGATTCATTCTGCCTCGTGCTGTTTCCTTTGTCTCTCTTCCTATGACCCTTCCTTGGAACATTTGGGGAGAGGGTCCCAGGGTGAGGGTGCGGGTGTGTGTGTGAGTGCGAGTAAGGGTATAGAGGGCAGAATGGGCTGAGGAAAGAGACAAGAACAAAGGCCAGCAGGCAGCACTTCCACCTGTCCATCCGTCCATCCGTCCGCCCGCCCAGCTTACCTCACCTGCCTGGCTCCGTGTGCCTCCTTGCGCCCCACCATCCCGCGGTCCGCCATGATGGGCTTGGCCGTCCGTCTGAGCACTTTCAGATACTCCAGGAAGCGGGTCCCTGCTCTTGGCCACTGTGTGGCTGGGAGGAAGAAGCGTGACTCTAGGCTGCAGCTCAGGCTCCCACCGCCGATTGGCTGAGGCAGGGACCAGATGACGGCCTCGGAACCCTATGGTAGCCATGGCAACCAGCCCCTTTAGACACCGCCACCCCCAAGCCACTCCTGACAGTGAGGGAGAAGGCAGTGCCGCCAGTGGGCCCATGCCAGGGTCCCCTCAGAGGGTCAGGTCAGGCATGGCTGGATGGTGGCTATTCTTGCACCAGCTGTTAAGTGTTTCCGTGTGTGTTTTATGCATACCCAGTGTGAAAGGTCCCTGTCCCTCTCTTGGGACATGTCCCAGGCTGCTCCATACCCTGTCTGACCCCGTGGCAGAGGCTGGAACAGTGTCCTTGAAACCCCTGCTGAGAAGAGGACTTCAGGTCAGGCTTGCCCCAGGGGCTGAAGGCCAGGCCCAGTCAACTGAGAAAATAATGAGTGAGGGCAGTGGGAGGAAAAGCAGGGGGAACTCCTCGCCCTTAGGTGGACAGAGCCAAGCTCTTGATCCACCTCGGACCCGAAAGGGTCTGCCAGCTCTGTCTCTGCCCGCCTACCCCTCCTCTGCACTCGTTAGTCTGTTGAACACACACTCACACCAGTCCCTTAAGAGCCTTCAGTGGCCCCAGTATGGCTCTGCTGCTCACAGACCTTGTGTCTCCACCCACAAGACTCTAGGACTTCAGCCACTAAGCAGACACTCTCCAACCCTGTGGAAATTGGCCACACACCCATGACCTTGCACCCGCTTTTCCCTTGGCCTGGGCCCTCAGGGTCTGTCACTATCAGCCCCTTGGTAAGCCCTTCCCAGATGTCTCAAGACCAGGGCTTCTCACCAAAGGCACAATGCAGCATCACTGCTGGTTGTTGTAGGGCATCAGAACCATCTCCACCTCATTTCTGTGACAGTCCCTAGCCTGTCCAAAGGCTCCTGGAATGAGTACCACCCACTCAAGGCCTCTATGAAGGCCACCTGAGAACCCAGGAGGCCACATCCCACTTCCTGGCCCAGGTCCAGCCCACAGCGGCTGAATAGGAGGTCGCATAAGGAATAACTATAGGGCTGTAAGGAGCAGGTGTAAGCCTCAAACCCCTGAGAAGAGGCCAGGATAGAGGAAGGCCCCTGGAGGCCCAAGGGCTCCTGAAGCAGCCACTGCCAAGGCCAGAGGGATCTGGGAGCCAGGGGCAGCCTGGAAAACAGGTCAACAGAGGTCGCACCTCCAGGGAAATAGACTCCAGGCAAGCCAGGCTGAACCCAGAGCCAAAGGGCACAGAGGCTTCTTGGGCCACCACCTTAACTTGCTCCCACACTTCACACTGCCTCCACCCCAAGCTGCCCAGTCACAGGAATGAGTGGGATGCCGCCAGAAAACAGATCTTGTCCAGGGGTAAGGTATGGGTGGGAACATAGGGCTGGGGGTCAGCTGAGGATGGTAAAGGGTCCAGGATCTGGAGCTCCATTCTGGGGCTTGGGGTATGCTGGGGAGGGCTCTGGTGTGCTGTGGCAGAGTGCCAAACGGTGTAGGGCTGAGGCTAAGGGGGTTCGTCTGGATCAAAGCTCCAGCTTGGGCTGCTGGTAGAGGTGGGAGGGAGAGGGGTTTGAGGGAGTCTGGAGCCACAGAACATTCAAGGGGACTGCAATGGATGGTGAAGGTAGAGACACAGTTCAAGCAGAGGTTCAGGGAAAGGCAGACGGTGCATGCAGGTGGGACTCACAGCAGCTTCTTTGTGCTCCCAGCACTTACGGGACCCGGGGCAGGGGCAAAGGTGCCCAGGTCTCACATGCTCTCTCCACACCTGCCACCTTGTAGGCAGTGCACACTTGAACAGGACTCAGGTGACACCCTCAGGGTGAGGAGCTAGGCACAGAACCCTGGACTGGGCCTCACCCTTCCTGGGGCTCAGAAACATCAGAATGATACAGTGGACACAACAGGGCATTGGGACACCTAGTATTAATGACCACAGTGTTGTCAGAGGCCTCCATTGCTCCAGTCCCAAAGGACCACTCCCCAATCCATAGCCACAGTAATGGCCCACCCTGTGTCCACGGCCCAAGCATGGCCCTTGACACTGAAGCTTTGGGCTCTGTTATGATATGAACACATGGGCTTAGCCACTTCCTGGGACACACAGGGACCAAGGATGCTTGCCTCAGGGCTCCTAGAGGGCCGGGGAGGGTCAGACCCAGCTGATACAAGGATAAGCGTGTGGGCCAACAAAGGGAAGGTCTGGGTTCTGCAGGTTTGACCTTAGTCAGTACAAATGACCCACCAGTTCAGGGGCCTGAGGGGTTACAGGGCCTCATCAAGGGGAACTGGAGGCTCTTAGACACATCGACAGACACTGGCAGAGGTGTGATTGATGGTGGGTAAGAAAAGAGGAAGGCAGCTCAGGCAACCTGACCAGGGCCTGGAGGTGAAAAATACAGGGAAGCTGGGGACATGTGACCAGATGGGCTCTCATGGCTCAGTTCCTGGTTCAATGTGTGATGTGTCCCCCTTCCCACCTCCCAAAAGGTAGAACAGTATGGCAGATCCACCCTGCCAGTGGCTTGTCCCAGACCTGTATTATTGTTTTATTTGGGGTAGAGAGGTGTCATTCACTGAAGGCTTTTTAACCTTTGTTGAGTCAAGGATATTTTTGAGAATTTGAGGAAACAAACTGATGCTGCCTCCCTCCAGAAAAGGGCTCAAGTTTTGGAGACTTGGGGCCAAGGCTCACTCAGACTCCCACCTCAGTCCAGCCTCAGATTATAGGGATGTGAGTGATCTGCTGAAGCCATGCCAAGCTCCTCCCACTGGTCAGCAGCACCAGAAGCCATCCTGAGCCACCGTTGTGGTAACCCCTAGGCCCTAGGGGAAGCAGAGCTGTAGCCCCAAGTCAGTGTAGGCTGGAACTCAGACACTCATCTTGTGGCCTACCAGTGCTGACAGGGAGACCAAAGCCCAAATTCAGCCCCATCCCGCTCTAGCTATATGCCCTATGCCAGCCCCAGGTCCCTCAGAGACCCCAGGAATCTGACACATGGACCCCTACATGTCTTGGCAGGAGCCCCCCTCTACCTGTGGCCTTCATTGGGGTGGAAAGGAGTAGGTGAGAGGGATAACAGAGCCAAGGTCAATGAACTGAGGATGTCTGGGGTGCACACCACACAGGAGACCCAGGTACTAGGCTAAGGGAGGGAAAGGGATCAGCTTGATTCAGTTCAGGGCTGAACATGGGAACTGTGATAGGAACATGGGAACATGGGAACATGGAGAGGGCTGGCCCATCCAGAACACCACCAATCTGGCTAAAGTCAAGGGCTGTGGTTCAAACAACTGAGCTGGGCCTTACTAGCCCACCAGAACTGGAGCAGAAGGCTAGGCACGTCAACTTTTGGTAAATTTTTTTAAAAATTAAAAACTGTTCACAAAGTAGGAATATTATTTGGGGAATCACTCTTGTGTGAGAAGCATGAAGACACTCCCAGAGGAGCGTGGGGCTGTGACACTGTGCCTAGCTATGAACAGAGTTCTCGGGGACACACCCCCCCAGGGCTCTAACTCCAAGGCAGGCCCTGACCCTTGATGACCCTCTTATGAACTGTTGGATCTCCAGAACTCTCCTGCAGCTGTGCCCACTGGCCAGCCACATGCTCCCTTTGGCCTCCACCACCAGGAACATAGCCCAGGTGTTGTCACCTCCATATCACCCCTCAGGGGAGCCCGGTACCCCTTAGCCAGTTGCCAAGACTAAGTCAGGGGAACCCTTCCTTGTGCTTCCAAAGGCCTGAATGGGTTTCAATGCTCAGAACTTCCAGATAAGGGTTAGAGAAGAGGGCCAAGGCACCCCTAATCTTAGAGCAAGAAAGACGTCAGAGTTCCTGGCCTGGGATCAGGTGTAGGTCAGCCAAAGAGGGCATGCCCAAGTTGCAGGTCCGTGTGGCCATGCTGACAGCTCCTGATTCAAGGCTTTCCCTGTGAGATGCTTCCACCAGCAGTGCCCTCTGAGGATCCCTGCTTCTCTGAATTGGTTGGGGATACTCACCATCCCAAAGGGCATGCTGGAATGCACATTTCCCAGTCACTTCCAAAGGAGAACATTCCAGAATAGGCAGGGACATACAACTGGGAGGGGCAAGTACCGTCCTGCCCTACCACAGAATGCCTTCAATTTCTCGGGATTCTCTCCCAGAGAAAAGAAACACCAATACCAATCTCATTCCCATGCTCAGCTGTGGACCACCACCCATCTCAGCTGCATCCAGGGTCCCTGGGGCTGAGGGCAACAGGACTACGAAGGAGATCTCCAGTCCTCCAAGCAAAACAACACACACACAGCCCAGCTCAGACTTTACTCGTGCTGCCCCCAGTGTGATGAACCTGCCTTGGCTGGGCCTCTGCTGCAGGAGGAGGGGGACCTCAGAGGCAGTGAAATGGCCCCAGGTCTCTGGGGATCTTGGGATCCCTTAGAGCCTCCACAAAGCCCACTGCACCTAGGAGCTGCATGGCCAGCACACACAAGAATGGTTTACCAACTGACCACAAGTGGCTCTCGCCATTGCCCCAGACTGCCAAAGGGTGGGTAAGTGGAGGTGGCCAAGGGACAACACAGGATGCTGAGCCTGACTGTCAGGCATAGGTCAGTCACTATACGGTCACTTCCCGCTGGCTCTCTTCTGCACCACCGCTGGCTCAGATAGTGCCTCTTGCTGAAGCTGCTCAATCAACTCTTCCACGTAGACCTTGAACAGAGGAACAGGGTCCTACAGGGGCAAGACGGTGTCACAGTGAGGCACTCTGGGGAGGGCAGAAATCTAGCTGCTGTTGGCCAAATACCAAAAGGAATCAGGAATGAGAGGACTGGGCCCCTAAGGCTTGGGCACAGGGTCAAGTGAAGCTGCTTGCCACTCCTCAGCCCCCAGTCCAGAGGGTAGTACCCTGTCCATGAGACAGGGACCGCCTTCTCTTGGGGACGTAGGAATCAGGCACCTGCCCCAGTTTCCCTGCCTTGCGGCCCTATGGTCAGAGAGAACAGGGGCAGCCAGCTACTGTGAGACAGGTGGGGGTGCGCTGTCTCAGCAGCTACCACAGGCTCCATACCCTCCTAGGGGATAGACATGACAAGACCCTAACTCAATACCAGGAAGACCTTGGAGGATGCTAGGCAGCCAAGTAGACCAGCTCTTGTCTCTCTGAGAGTCTTTCCGTCCCTGAACCTATGAAGCAGGCCAGAGGGAGCAGGAGAATGTCAGGACCTTGAGGGGAAGGAACATGCCATGTGGAACCCACAGGGCTGTGGCTCCAATTGGGTGGCTGTGCACAGAGGCAACTCCTCCCCAAGCCTGGTTCAGTAGCGCCTCATCCAGACTCCCCGCAAGGCAGCACACTTCCCCACCCTGTCTAACAGTGCTTGGCGGCTGTGCCCACCCAAAAAGTCAGGGCAGCTGGTGTTCACACACGCTCACCTTCTCCTCCAGAAGCCTCTGCTTCTCCACAGCCTCGTCCAGTGTCAGACCAACCCACTCGGCCTCCTCTTCCTTGATGATAAACTCCTTGGCAAGCAGACATGGGGCATGTGGTGAGGCTGGGGCAGCCAGCCAGTGGGGCCCATGAGGAACAGGAAGTCCAGGCCCAAGCCCTCACCTTGTACTTGTCATAGATGGCTGCCCTTCTCTCAGGGTCATCTGGGTGCAGCTGGGGGTCCCGTCGGGCAAGCCGTAGCAACATCCCTCGCTTCAGGTCCATCCCAAACTTGGAGCACAGGTCCTCTTTTGGGGTCTAGCAGGAAACTACGCATGGGTCAGGTGCTGCTGGCAGGGCTGAGCCCACCCCACCAGCCAGCCCCACCCAGATCCTCCCAAACAACTGGCAGCCTCCAGGCCAGAACAGGGGAAGAGCCAAGAGCAAGGAAGAAAGTGACTATATTCGCTTGCGCCCTAGTAGGCAACACAGCCGCCCATAGCAACGAATTCTCCTGTGGGCAGCAGGCCCCAACAGGGGCTGCCCAGAAAGGGGCATGGTCCCACTCACATTTCACTGGTGACCTTTCACCTCAGAGACCAGCATTCCTTAGTGGATGCTGATCTACCTTGCCCTCTCTGACTAGCTGTCTGACAACACTTGCCTTCAGGATGTAGAAGTCGAACCCGTAGGCCTCATCGATGAGGTCCAAGGTGCGCATGGTCACGGTCACGGAGAACTTCGTGTCCAGGATCTCACTATAGAGCTCACGCTGAAACAGCTGTGGCTTCCATACTTTCTTCACCCTCTTCGAGAGCTGAGGGAGCAAGAGAGTCCTTGTGAGTGTCCCCGCTTCTCTCAACAGACCTGAGTGAGACCCAAGGTCCCTTCCTGAGATTCAGGATGTGGAGCCAGATGGACCAGGCCCCACCCGTGTATCTGGTTGCCTACCCAGAGGTCGGTTTCTCCATAGCCAGCCTGGTACTCCCGGACCTTGCCCAGGTTGCTGGTGTGTTTCAGACACAACACAAGACACAATAACAACTCCATGGTTTACATTCTACACCAGTGACCAAGAGGCCAAAGGCAAAGGGAGATGCTAGCCTGAGAGGCCTTCCCCAGAGGGCTCAGTAGTCCCTCCAAGTATTCCATCAGAGGCAGCACAGTGTCAGGGACAGACTCAGGAGACCTGCACCCAGATGGGTATCACAGTTTTCCAAAGTGTGATGAGAAGGTGGTGGTGCCAGCCTTATAAGTGTCCCGAGAAGTGACAGAAGCAAACTATGGCAAGTCAAACGGACAGGTGACCACAGACCTCTCTCTCCGACCTCCTCTCAACACACAGGCCTCCTCCTTCATCCTTACACTTGATCTGGGCCATCTGCAGTTTTCGTTCCCCATATGAACCACCCCATTAAGGATACCCTGTTGGTTTCACAAGGAATAGAGCTCCCAAGAACTGTGCCTCTTCACTCCTTAACATACTCCTTTGAAGACACTGTCTCCACCAGACTGTAATCACTCCTGGGGTTGTGATTACACGGATCTCTGGTGCCCAGCACGGAGCCCAGAGCAGCAAAGCCCCGGACAGACCCCCTGAAGCCTGCCCTGCTGACCAACCTTGTCGTTGTTAACGTATCTGTGGCCCAGGATCCAGCCCTCACCTCCCCAGAGCCCCAGCTGGGACTCCGGAGGGTAGTGAACAGGGATGGGCACATCCTCCACGCGTTCCCGCTGCCCGTTTTTGGGGTTGATTTTGAACTTGGCCTCGTGTGGCCTGTAGTGCACGGGAGTGGGCGTCCTCGTTTCCTCCAGGGAGCGCAGGTAGTGCTGGGGCAGGCGGGAGTAGATGCCGTCCCGCAGCCTGAGCTGCTTCCACAGATTGACCGGGAACTTGTGCAGGGGCATCGCGGCGAGCCTGGCGAGAGGCAAGGGAACGCTGTCACGCCGCAGTCCCACTAGCTCCTGACCCCTGACCCCGACCCCGTGGCAGTCACGACCCAGACCCTTCGTGCTGCCTCAGCCCCCAACCTTGATTGCCCGCACACGCCAGCTGCAGACCCCGACTCCACGCTTACCCGAGACTACCTCCAGGAGCTCCGCGCCTCGCCGGAACCGGAAGTCGCGCTACGGGACTTTGCCCTCACCCGCACCTCACTGGTTGCAAAGCCCGTCCGTTTACCCCATCGTCCCGCCCCCTATTCTGTCTTTAGGGACCGTGGAAAAAGCCCTACCAAGACTGCGTCGGCTCTAGGAACCATCGGCAAGTGCGGCCCGTTTTCCGCGAGCAGCAGCCGGAGGCGGGGATTGTCATCCAGGGCCCTACCTCCTTTCCTCCAGGAAGGAGCGCAGAAAATAATGTAAAAACTCTTGTCATGAAATGTAACTGTAGAATATTAAATCTATCAATCACAACGAAATCAAAACTACATAAAAATATGTCAATGTCTTAAAAATTTTTTACCCCCCCAAAAATCATACAAATGCTTCCCCTTTATAAGCCCAAAGAATGCTACAATGGCCAAGAGCAGGGTGACTAGGAGGGGGGGCGGGAGTAGGGGGCTCTAGGGAAGCCCCAAGGGCCAACTCTGGGCCTCTGCAACTCGGGCTTCTCATGGCCCTGTCCTACACTCCTCATACAGATAGAAGGCCTCTGTGCTGTTGCCTCAGGTAGCGGCAAGGCCCTGCTCATTGCGAGATGAGGGAGAAAGGCTGGGCCAGGTCTCTGGCAGCCCCTCTCCAAACACATGCTTGGGCCAAGGCAAGGTGGCAGCCTTCACCTCCACTCCTGGGAGCAACTCAAGAAGATGCTCTGCAGACAAGAGCCCAGGAACCCAGGGGGTGGGTGGGGACACAGTAGGGGCAAAGTGTTTCCTATGTTGCTGGCACCCCCAGAGCAGCACCCCCAGAACAGCTTGGCAGTGGCAGCTCTTCTCGAGCCTCCAAAGCTGAGAGCCAAAGGGAGAGGAGCAGCAGGGCACAACAGCCAAAAGCCAGCCACCCCTATGCCACTCATGGATGCTGGACCCTACATCCTCCAGTGCCCATCAGCTCTTTGGTAACCATGGTCACCTCTCCCGATGGCAACTATATCAGCAGAGCACATCCCCATGTCTGAGGGTAAGCTGGCATTCACAGGCACGTGGTGTCAGGGAGCCAGGATACAGGGAGGGCAGTGGCAGTGAGGGGCCCATGGGAGGTAGGCTCAGGCATCCTCTGCTTCCCTAGGTCTCACGTCACAGCCTCACAGGGGAACAGGGCAGTAGAGGACTCTTTCTCCATATCTGTAACTGTCCCCAGGCCAGTAGAATACAGAGCCTGCCCCCGAATGGTACCTGTGGTCTCCAGGCAGCCAGGCCCCAAAAGCCACTGCAGAACCCGCTAGGATCTGCAGAGGGATGGAGTCAGCCGGCAGCTGGCAGGCACAAGGGAATTGGGGGGTGCGGTCCTCTCCTCGGGAGGAGGAAGCAAAGGGTGTGCAGGGCAATTTTATTCAGTTGGAAATCCATCTGGGCAGGGGTCCCTCTCCCTTGGTCCTGCCCCTGGCTGGAGAGGTCATCATCAAAGCTGCAGGTGTCCCCAAGCTGCCCTCATTATGTCACTGTATACAGTTCTTCCCGGTGGTTCTTGCAGATCTGATAATGGCAGGTGAACTTCTGCGAGCAGGCCCAGGGCTCAACATG